ATTTAGAACGTCTAGATTTACAACTAATCCAGTTAAGGGAAAATTTCATCTACATCCATTTTAGGTTTATCATATCTTCAAGGACATTGTTTCTATGTTCTAAATCTTTACTAACACCATTGCCAGATTAAAAGTGTTAATTAGAATATAATTTTATTAAATTTCTCATGATATATTTTAAAAAAAAATTATCCACACCCTCGCTCTAGATAAGGCTATCATTAAATAGAATCCCTCTATTTTTTAAACTTTTTTACGTATTAAAATTCAGGCCAATCAAAATTCTATTTTAGTTAATTAAAATTTTTTTTATATATTAAAATTTGAATCGATTAAAAAATATATTTTTTTAATGTATTAAAATTTTAACTAATTAAAATTCTATTCGAGACTCAAATCAAATTTTAATTAACTCGCATTAAATTTTAATAAATAAAAAAATATAAATTTTAATTGACTTGAAGAGAATTATAATTAGGACTAACAGTCTAAGTATAGTTCAAATCAGCTCGAATTTAATATGTAAAAAAGAGTCTTTTAATAGGCTTGAATTTTAATACGTAAAAAAATAAATTTAATCAATTCGAATCAAATTTTAATATGTAGAAAAGAAATTTAATCAACTCAAATTTCAATATATAAAAAAATAAATTTTAATCAACTCAAATTTTATGTAAAAAGATTGATTGGGGTTTATGTAAGGGTAATTTTTGTATTTTAAATAATTTATTTTTATTATAAATAGTGGTGTAACGACAGAAGATGTTAGTGATGTTTAAATATAAATTAGAATGAGTGTCAGTGATATTTTTAATAATAGAGACAATATCTTTAAAAATATAATAAATTAAAAAGAATGCGACTAAAATTTTCTCAATAGTCAAACTCATAACAAGTTGGTGGCACTTCCCTTTCAGCATTTTGTTCCCTAGTTTTTTTTTTAATGGTGTTAAATCATCCTTGTTTCTTATTCGTTACTCTTTTTTTTTTTTTTTTTTTAACATTATCACAAAATAAAGTAGTATTTTTTATATGTAGCACATTTGTTTGACTCCATCCATTGAATCGTAGCTTTCCCCAAAAGAACTGGCACATGGCTTAGACATTCGAAATCGACTTTTCATACACAATTTTATATACATTTCTTTGTTATTCTGGATTAATATTGAATATTAATCATTAATTAATTGAACTAAGCCTCAGCAACGGGCCAAACAGGTGTACCCGACTGGTCAATCCAATAACTCAATGGGTCCGGACTTGATATAATCTATCCACAAGTGATATGGATCATAGTCTGTCCGACCCTAATGGCCATATTTTTTTTTTTTGGTTATTTTGTTAAATTTTTTTCATTTTTTCAGTTTTGACAGGCTAATAGAGTCTATAACGGGTCTTAATCGGGCCAACCTATTGGGCCTAATGATCCAGAAAAAGTTGACCTTAAACTACACCTGAGTTTTTAAACGAGTGCAATGTGATGGAGCGGATCATCCATAGCCCGATGACCCGATAGGCTGTCAGGCTATCGGGCTAGAGCGGAGGCCGTGGACCCTTTTGCTTTCAATGAAAAAATAAAATAAAATTGGGAGCTGGATTTTGTTAGAAATTATTTATTTATTTTATTATTATTGTTTTACCTAATCAAGGTAAAACTACTTTGAACCCATTTCTACAATAGTAAACCTGAGTTACCTACAATCATCTGCAAAATACATATATTAATTAAGTTCAAGAAATATCAATGAGAATCGAACTTATGATATTTGAGTTTACAATTCATTCATGTCCAACTCTGTACTGTTGGACTATTCATACAAATTTGTCAAACCTTGTTATAATAAAGAGAACAATAAAATTCGAAATCACGACCACAAAGTCCAACAACATGACACTACAATCGTTGTATTAGTTTCTCTTTTTTCACTGGCAGGAAGAAAGTGTTGAGCTGTTTAGCCAAAAACAATGGGTTCAAAGGCTTTGAAATTAGCTGTCTAAGGGTACGTGAATAAGCTGTAAACCTCTATATAATGATATTTTTCTCAATCTTGCAATGTGGTGGAAACATGTCCCACCCTGATCTAGCTGTACTATTCTTTCAACTTGTGTGAAATGACCTCTCCAGACCAGATACTAACGAACAGATAAGTTATTGTAGAAGCATTTTCTTATGACATGCCAAGCTTGACTTTTTCACTATGAAATACATCTATATGAAATTATGTGGACAATAATGCGATTTATAATTTAATTTTAGTAATTTTGTGGTAACGAGATTGTCCTTTTAGATTAATAATTATGGTTTAAATCAAATATTTTACAGTAAAAATATCTTAATGGTCATGTCCAGAGATGACTACCAACTAGTCATTCTTTTTGTACGTTTTTCCTGATAAAAAAAAAAACTTATGTGTGATAAGATTGAATTCTACTTACACCATTTTTATTGGGTGCGAGCATAATTCTCTCTTAAATTTTTAATTTAAATTTTGGACTAAACTCAGAAAACCTAAAAGGGCAACAGACCTTAATTTGGAAACTTCAAAGGCCAATGAAAATCTAACTTCATAGCCGTGATTCAGTATGAATACAAACAAATTAAGGGAATTTGGATGGATATGATTATTATGGACAAACTAAACACTATTCGGTCACTTGATCACTCAACCACCTTGATTTATATAATTTAAAAAACAAATTAAAAATATAAAGATGAGAAAGTTTTGTGAAAATATAAGAATATTTTTAACCTTTCACTCATTTTTTTACTCGAATTTGAGCCAATATTTGAGTAAAAAATTTAATTTGATATAGAGGACTTTAATGGACAAACATAAACTTTATTTTTTTTGGGTGACAGGCAAAATTCCTAGTCTGTCTCCAACGAGTAGAGATATACTTATATTGCTTAGGCTCGTGAGTTTGAGTATAACTGATGGCAAAAACCCTAGGTGCATAAACAGGTCCTTAAATCCATACACCAGTTAAATAAGGATTTCTGTTTTAGCGGGGATTCGAACCCACACTAGAGACTTGGATATGATGCACCAAAACAACTGAGGTTCGTCATATCAAGTAACCATGTTTTTTGTTGCCCAAGAGACTTGAATGATTTGATCTCAAAAAAGTAAATCCTTCACAAGGCAATGAGTATTTTTGTTGTCCATGAGACTTGAAATATTTGATCTTAAGAAGAAAAATCCTTCACAAAGCAATGAATATTATTAAATCAATGGCATGTTGGTGGACAAACACAAACTTAAAGTAAAATAAACTCAAATTTAAAAGTGAATAAAATATGATTATTAGAATTTTTAAGAAGAATAAAATTTAATCACTGTTAATTTGAATAAATATTTAAATCTCTCATAATGCAACGTGTATCTCAGTATAAGATTGGAAATTTTTTTTGAGCTATCTTCGTTTAAACTTAAATTTAAGTCTAAAAAAAGTAACAACTAAAAGTGCTGAATCTTTAAAACCTTAACTTTTTACCAATACGTGTGTGTATATAATGTTATTTGCCGCTTACACTTTTAAGTGTAAGTTTCAGAGTGATTCTGTCTATAAAAAAAAAAACGTTTTACCTAGACGTCACAATTAGAATTTTAATATATATTTTTCATGTAAAATTTTAGACTGCACAAAATATATATAATGTTTCATCTTTTATGACCTGATGATCCTTAATATTATTGTACTAAATTCAAATTTATTTATGCCCCGTTTGGTACGGTGAAAAAATAAAAAGATGAAAAGTTGAAATAATAGAAAAAACATCATATTTGAAAATATGATAAATGGAAAAGTGAATGGATGAGTTTTCTTTTCAACTCATCAAAATCAATCATTTCAAAATTGGAAAGAAAGTAGATAGAAAGTTAATTATTTGTGTTGAAATGTATTTTATTTGTCTATATATCATTTAATATATACATTAATTTCATATATAAATACAATGATAAAATATGTATTTATACTTAAAAATTAAAAATAACAAATATTTTTTTATCTTATCAAACACAACACAAAAAATTAATCTTTTTTATTTTTCATCCATCCAACCAAACATAAATGAAGGAAAGTGTATCATTCTTATTTTTCTTCCATGAAAGATAGAAAAATGTATCATTCCTACTACACAGAGCATTAAAGGAGATTACAAGAATTAGCGTCTTTTTTTGCGTCAGCATTATTCTGTCACAAAAAATGTGTTTTGGAAAGAATAAAAAAAAATTGTGCGATGGTAGTTCTGTTGTAAAAAGTTTATTTGTTTGTTATAAATCTATAATTTACAACAAAACAGACTTCAATAAACTCATCTGACTGTCTTAAATAGATTTATTAAACAGCCATTACAAATCTCTTTTAAAATTATTCACATTAAATTTTATTTCTCAAATTCATCATTTCTTATTTACTTGCACCCCACACCTTCAGACACGAGTTACCCTTAATACTATTTAAGAATGGATGGTACCGTCACAAATTTTTTTTGAAATTCCACTTATTATCATATAGTGTTGTAATGGTATGTTTTGCCCTAATAAATATAGTATCTAATAATATTTACAGTAACAAATAAATTTTTTATAATAATATTATCGAAATAATTTTTTTTTTCTCTAAATCACATATTTTTTCATATAATGATAAACACTGCCGTCAAGACAAACTTGCCTCAAAACATCTTAATTCTAGGAGGGGAGGGATAATTTAGTACATTACTGAATATAAAAAGTGATACAAGGTAATAATTGAGGGATCAGAAAAATGTTAAACGATCTATGCACATCTCGAAAATACAACATTATTTTTTTCTAGTGGGTCCGATGATTAAATTTTGTAAAATATTTGCAGGAAAATAGTGAATAGATGACGTCATCTTTCTGCGTCATACATGTGATGTCATATTTTTTTATTTCTTAATGCACAATTTCTGTGGAGTTTCGTCCACCGTCCTTCCTTTGAGCTTCCTCTCATTTACCTCCTTCTTTCCTCCCTCTCTCTCTCTCTCTGTCTCTGTCCCATCCATTAGTCCTCATAAAAAAACCCATTCTCTCTCCCTCTCCACACCTCTCTTCATCTCTCTCACTCTCTGATACCCACTTTAATTTTGGATAAGGATAATGGGCACACCATTGCCTGAAAAGTTCAGTAGCACCAAGAGGAAAAGGGCTATCAAAGAGCTAGTTAATGGCCGTAAATTTGCAACTCAACTTCAAGTTTTACTTGAAAAACCCCATGGAGATCATGGGTATGTTTCATCAGCTGAAGAACTTGCCGAGAAAATCTTGACATCTTTTACAGAGACCCTATCTGTGTTGAATTCTTGTGACGGTGATCTAGTTCAGATTCACCCAACTGCCCATGTGGGTTCTACTTGTTACAGTGATGGAGCTTCTCAAGATTGCGGCGATAGTCGGACCAACCCCGCCGCAAAGGATCGAAGAGGTTCTTACAAGAGAAGGTAATATATATGTGTGTGTAGCTGATTTTCCATAGGAAGAAACCTCTCTTTGGGGTGATAATTGCAGAGGGGTAAACCATAGAGAAAGGTGGACTCCAAAGTCCAAACCACATGGAAAAAGTAGATCTGATAATGATTGTGGCTTATACAATTTTTATTTATTTACTTATGGAATATTATTCAAAAAATGGGCAGGAAATTGGTCGACTCTAGATACTTTTTTGTTCTAATTAATCTTACATTTTTTTGGATAGATCACAAGTCTTACTCAACTCGTAATTGATTCGAAAACTGTCTCAATTTACCTGGGAATCTTTTGAGTTAATTGTCATTGCATCGAAATTTATTATTAAATAAGGATCACTAATATATTGATGAGCAATATAGACTCTTTTAGGCTTTTGAAACTTAAAGGGTTGTAGGTAGAAGAAGGTTTTGAGACTAACCAAAAATTTCCACTTTGCAGAAAGACTTCAGACTCATGGATAATCGTCTCCCACACAATGGAAGACAGCAATGCATGGAGGAAATATGGACAAAAGGAGATCCTCAATGCCAAATATCCAAGGTAGTCTCTCTCACATCCTATGTTTCTATTTCTTAGTTTTCATTGGTTACCCACAAAGCCATACTTACCTAATTACACAAATCAAAACACCAGTGGTTAGCCACAATCAAAATAAACCAACTTCTAGAACCCTGAAAGGTCCTTCTAAGACCATGGTCTATCGCAAAATTAAAACCCTGGGAGATCAAACAATTTAGATGAAAGGATTTGAGTAACGAAATAACTTAACACTGTATATTACGCAGCTGAAGCTGCGTAAAAAGATTTTAGTTGACTTGATGTGCGTGATTTATAGATTGATTTTCTCACGATACCACGCCGTGTAAAAAGGCTTTAGTTGACTTGATGTGCGTGATTTATAAACTTATTTATGAGTACTTGTGAGTATTCCAAAATTACATAACAAACAGGATTTAAAGAACGCATCTTTGAAACAGTCTCACATTATTAAAAAAACCTCATATCGAAAATCCAATCTTTTTTAAAATAACTAAGTAATATTTTTAATTGGCAGGTGTTACTTTAGGTGCACACACAAGCATGATCAAGGCTGTCGAGCCACTAAACAAGTTCAAAGGACAGAAGAGGACCCTATGAAGTATCAAACCACATACTTTGGTCATCATACCTGTAAAGCAAGATTGAAGGGTCCACAACTAATCTTTTCGGATCCGGATCCTCCTGCAGAATCGTATTTGCTTAATTTTGAATCAAATAATATTCCAAGCAACAAACAGAATCATCCCTCCTTGAAAGAAGAATCTAAGGAAGATACACATAGTGAGCTCTCCGACAACGTATCATCGATGGATTCAATTTGGTGGCCAGATCTAATGGCCTTGGAATCATCCAGACTTGGGATGATGTTGGGTCCGAAAATGGGATCCGATTATGAAGATATGGGTTCTAGTGTTTATTCGAATGCAGTATCGGCTAGTTCTCATGGTTTGGAGATTGATACTTTGATCAACACTGTTGATTTTGACAATGAGTTTCAGCTTGATGAGATTGAGTTTCTTTAGGTTCCCCAGTGAAGAGAATTTTCATTAAAATAATGTGATGTAATGTAATGTAATTTCAGCTTTGTACTTTCCCAGATGATTATGTTCATTGGTATAACCATATGCTTTTAGGACTCCTATCAGAAATCTTTGCCTCTTTTGTAACTTTTGCCCACCAGATGGATGGGATTAGGGAATTGAGGCAAAGCTACAAGCAGACTGGAAGAGTCATCTGGAAGCCTAAGGGTTAGATCATGTAATAATAGTAATAATAGAAACGAGTTGTAAATTTAAAATTTTTGATTTTGAATATTGATAATTCATTGAGTTTTTATTTTTTATGAATATTTTAATTCTTGTGTGGATAGTCTGTCTTTGATCGGACATTTTTTACCGTTGAAAATAAAAAAGAGTCATCGTTGGTCTAGTGAGCACTAAATATTTTTTTTGCACATAAACCACTGATAGAGAAAATGATGTGCTTATCAAATCAAAAATTACCAAAAGACTTATCAAATCAATATGAATAATGGGATCTAATTCTTCTATGTAACGTTGTTAATCGAGTTAAACTGTTTGGGTTCGACTTGAGTTTAAATTCGTGTTTTAAACGAGTCAAATTTAAATAATTTTTTAAATCCACTCGGAATTAGTTTAGAGTTTAAACATTTGAAGGGTTGTCACTTCAGCCATAACCAAATAATTTTAGATTAGATGCTGTAAAAAATACAAATTCGACAAATCCAGTCCACTGAGTCCTAGTCTCAAGCTTTGTTTTTATGTTATTGTAATGCATCATGTTTCTCAAGCTTTTCATTCCATGGCAGAGAGAGAGAGAGAGAGAGAAGGGTGATTTAAATACTTTTTTTCTTCACTTTTTTTTTTTTGGGTGGATCTTGGGTTCCCAACTTCACATGTATAAAAAGTCCCACTTATATATATAATATGTGATCTATCAAAAAGAATCTTATTACCGTTTATGAGAAAATCAATGATATTGGGAAAAAAAATTAGGAATCGTATCACAAGTTACTACTTTTTTATTAAAAAATTAACAGTTTTGAAATGAAAAGGTAAAACTCGTCAAATGAATGTTATGATCGATTACGGATACTTATGAATGATTAAAAACTCTCGGTATAGATCTCAACTATTTATGGTCGATAATATCTTTTAAAATTATAATTTATATCTCAAAAAAATTATAATTTTCAATATGATACCATCGGTACCCGTAAATCTCCCCCGGGGGTATTTTAGTAGACATTGGTAAGGGACTTCGAGAGGCTTCTAGAAAAAGAGAACAAATACGGGAAGAAAACAGTGGTGTAGTTTGACCACAAAAGTTTCGGTGGTTAATTCAAATCACAAGGTGGAGATTATATGCAAATAATATTGTGGATTGATCTAATGCATGTAATTTATACGAGTGAGAATTTTTAGTAATATATTTTATTTATTTATTTTCATTCTCCATAAATTATAACAAAAAACAGTTACAATCATTCTTTAAAAAATAATATAATTTTTAGAATCAAGTTATATTATTTTGAAATCTAATTAAATTTTTTGAAAGTGCTTAAGAATAATTTTAAATATTAATTAAAATAAAGCAGGACGTTATAACTTCACCACCAACCATATAGTTTTAAGGTAATGGGTAAGAAGGATACGGTACCACGGAGGCATGTGCGAAAAATAATTTAGACCCTTAATTTTATTTTGGATAATCTTTGACTGTTGAAGAAAAAGTGAATAAAATTATAATATAAAAAAAAATTACATACGTGACTTATTTTTAATGATTATTAAAAAATAAAGGTACAATATCAAAAAATATATTCGGTTATTCTAACACTCCTTTAGGGATTTGAATATGATACCGAAAAAAAAAAAATCGGTATCATATCTCTATTTATCATATTTGTGGGTTCTTTTATTATTAATGTAGTACCCTAAAAAATAATAAAAATAATTACTATAACAGTGGTAAAAATATTCGTAAATGTAGTAAAAATACTCACAAATATAATAAAAACACCCATAAATCTAATAATTTTTTTTGTACTAAAGACAAATGGTAAAAATAGTTATCACAAATGTGATAAAAATACCCGCAAAAGTGATAAAATTTTTTATTATAAAATGGCACATAAAAATTATAAAAAACACCCATTAAAATAATAAAAATTAAAAATATGGTGCCAAATTTATTTATTCCATGCCGTAGTCAAGTCTTTTTTTTAGAATACGGTATTACTTTACGTACCCATAGCCTTTTCCTCATTATAAAATTCCCAATACAGTGTCCAGTGACTCTCATTGTCCCGATTCAATGTCCTGGTACAATCATCAATTCCCACAGTTATACCAAGTTGATGCATGCGTGTATGGGATTGCAAATATTATATCCTCAACAATAATGGGATCCGTAGGTTACAATTATACTGGATTACATTTACTTTTTAGATTCACTTGTTATTTTTTTAGTTCAGTAATCATTTTTTTTTTGGGTGGAGTTAATTACATTTTAGGGTAGAACTTATTATTTTTTGAGTTCTTTTTTTTTTTTTTCCTTTTTTTGTATAAAACTGAAAGTATACATTTTTTTTTCTACGATTAGAAGTATTCGAGTCAATTTACACGTACTTCAAAACATTATTATTTTTCTATCATGAAACTGTTGTTCCAATTATGTGCCTTTTGATTTCAGAATTGTAACATAAAATTTTGAATACACTCGATCACATGTAAATTATAGACACCTTCTAAACCAAATATTTATTTGATAAATAAAATTCGAAGTTAGAACATGCGAATTTGAGCGAGACCCAACATTTCTATAAATAAATTAATAAGTGAAATTTTGTATTCCTATTTTCTAATTGCAAATTTGTTGAATGTGTTTATAAACTCAACTGAGTCAAAAACAATTGAAAGCACAACACACATGCTAAAGTACATCCATAATACTTTATCTGTTCCTAAATATCTGTTGTTTTACACATTTTTTTTATTTTATAATATCTGTCGTTTAATAAAACCAAAGCATAATTAATATTTTTTTTTTCAAATTTATCATTAACTTTTCAATGTATTAGATTAGATGGAGGTTAAGCGTCTTTCATATTTATTTCATTCTCAATATGTATTGAATAAAGATATTTTAGTTTTGTATAATTATTTTTTACTCATATTATAGCTATTTAAGAGTTTCCTTAATCCATGTACAAAAAATATTAAACGACAGATATTTAAAAACGGAGGGAGTAATTAATTTTACAATTAAGTCCACTTGGTACTGTATTATTTTGTTAATGTCAAAACTACTATTTCTGGTCCCTTAACCACACGTACATTCCCCTCTTATAGACGACCGAGTGGTGCAAAAACTTCATATTAGAAGTTGTCGTGGGTAAAAAAAAAAAAAACAAATTTAGTAGTACGACTTTTATTATATTTGTGAGTATTTTTATTATTATTATGATATTAAAAATAATAATAATAATATTTATTATAATAGTGATAAAAATATCCATAATAGTTGTAAAAATAGCCACAAATATTATAAATCACCTATAAAAGTGATAATTTATTTTATATCAAAGAAAAATAATAAAAATAATTATTACAATAGTAAAAAAAATATTCACAAATATGGTAATCACTCACAAAAGTGATAAATTTTTTAGTTATAAAATAACTCATAAATTATTAAAATAATAAATTTTAGAGATACGGTTTCAATTTTTTTTTTTTTGGTCAGGTAAGTGATCAAATCATTCATGTTAAAGCAACTTTTTTAAAGAGAAAAAGTAGAAAAATGGCAGTAGATAATGGAAGCTATTATTAGCTATCGACCTACCATCTTATCCCCGTAACAAGCCGATGACATGGAAGCCCTTCACTCAATCCCTACCATGTCCCAAGCTTCTCTTTCTCCCTTTCCCTCTTCCCCTCTCTCTTTTCTTCTTTTTTTAAAAAATTTCATCACACACTTTTTTATTTATTATAATTTCAAGGATAACTTATCTATTTTTTGAATCTTCAATAACACTCCAATCAGATTAAAAATGATAACTAGAATACAATTTTACTAAATTACCTATAATATATTTTAGGTAAAACTTCATCTGCACTCGCACTCCCTTCTAGATAGGCATATTTTTAATGATACCCTCTTTATTTTTAAAATTTTTTTACATATTAAAATTTTGATTGTTTAAACCTCGATTCAAGTTAATTAAAATTTATTTTTTACGTATTAAAATTGGAGTTAATTTAAAAAAAAATTTAGCATTAAAATTTAAACCGATTAAAATTCTATTTGAACAAATTAAAATTAATTTTTAATCAGCTTGAATTAAAATTTAATCAACCTGTGTTGAATTTTAAATGGTCTGAATTTTAATACATAAAAAATATAAATTTTAATTGACTCAAATTTTAATACGTATAAAAATAAATTTTAATCAACTTGAATTAAATTTTAATTGACACGAATTTTAATAAAAAAATATAAATTTAAATCGATCTCGGAACAAATGTTAATTGACACTAACAACTCAGATAAAGCTTAAATTGGCTAAAATTTTAATACATAAAAAAAAATTATAATAGGCTCAACTTTGAATGCATAAAAAAAAATTAAATATAAACTAGGAGAATGTGTCAATGATGTTTTGGATAATAGAAAATATATTTTTGAAGATATAATAAATTAAAAAGAATGTGACTAAAATGTTTCATTTGAGAAAGTATTCTATGTAACAGTGGTATTGTATCATCCGTGACATATCGTATTACTAACTAACTAATAATAGTATACCATATGTGTATTGAAATATTTTCCGTGTTTAAAAAGTTTAGAATGGTTAAAAGATCAAATGTAAATAAATAGATTTATTGTAGTTAAAAATTTTTTGTAAATCATAAAATAAGTAGTCAAGTCTATGGATATTAATCTATGAATATTAAACCATACCTTGAAACAAAATAAAAGAAAAAAAGACCCACATGAAAACAATGAAAGATGCTAATACATCAAGAAGCGGCGGAAGATGGGGTATGAAAATGGAACAAAGAATACTTATAGGTTTTTGTCTTCTCCGTCTTCCGTCTTCCGTCTTCCGTCTTCCGTCTTCAAAGGACCCACATGAAAAAGAAGAAGCTTTGAAGAGAGGCTGGCAGAGGCACTTTGGCATCGAAAGAGTTTTACATTTGGCTTCGATAGATTAAAAAATTTTCGTTAAAAATTTAGTATAGAGTTCGAATCTTTCACA